CCGCACGGGGGATGACTTTCTCTGCACCTGCACTCCCCCCCCTCCCTCCCCCCCGCGAGAGCACTGAGGCAGGAGAGAGTAGGGGAGGTCTAGACCTGGGAGCAGAGTGAGGCTGAGGAAGCACCAGGGCAGCGTGGCGGGGGAAGGGAGGTCTTTGCTGGGCGGCGCTAGGACCCCGCGGGGCACGGACTGGCCCGGACAACACCTCCGCGCCGCTTCCCCTAGAGGGCGGGCGCGGCCAGTCGCCGGCGCGGCTCCTGCTCCATAAAAGGGTTGGGGGCGGAGCTGGCTCCCAGCTGGCGCTCGCGATTGGAGGTGGCGGCATATAAAAGCGGCCGGCGCCGCGGAACAAAGCAGTGGGTCGGAGCGCGGCGGCGCGGGAAGAGGGCTGGGGCAGGGGACAAGGACGCGGCTCGCTCGGGCTCTTCCTCCCTCGGCTGCCCCCGCCCCCTCCCTGCCCCTGGCGCGGCCGGGCCGCCTGCTTTCTGCCGGACGGGGACGGAAGGCGACACCCATGAAGGAGAGAAGAGCGAGCCAGAAACTCTCGAGCAAGGCGGTCATGGATCCGAACCAGAACGTGAAGTGCAAGATCGTGGTGGTCGGCGACAGCCAGTGCGGCAAGACCGCCCTGCTCCACGTCTTCGCCAAGGACTGCTTCCCCGAGGTACGTCCCGGGCCGGGGCGCGCTGCCCCCGCCTGCGCGCGCGGGTGCCGGGCTCTGTGCCGGACCTGCTGCTGTGTCCAGCTCTGTAACGCCGGTAACCGCCTCTCCCTCCTCTTTCCCTCTCTCTGTTATTCAGAACTACGTCCCGACCGTCTTTGAGAATTACACGGCCAGCTTTGAGATCGACACGCAAAGGATAGAGCTGAGTCTGTGGGACACTTCGGGTAAGAGCTGTGCACCATGGCCCGCGGGGGCTCGCGTTCCCTCTGGGTCCTGTTAGGGACCCGCGTGGAGCTATTTCTGGCTAAGATCAGGGATTGCGGCCGCCCCTCCGCACCAGGAGCTTTTACTGAATCGCTTATTTCCTTCCAGCGGAGATCACAAGGGCTCCCTAATGTAATAGTCACCTGTGATTAGGAGGTGACATTGTTTTAATGTGCCCCTATTTCATTTGGTTTCTCTTCCTTCTTTTCTTTCTCTCCCTCCCCCTTTTCTCTTCTAAAAGTTCTTGTGGAGAGTAGCTCAGCAGATAGGAGACTTACTATTGCATATTGTGAGCCTTTCATCTTAATATTTGTCATCGCTGCTGTGAAACCCAGCATGGGCTCTCCTTGGGTGAAACATGATTGTACAGAAGGAAGCAGATTAATGCTCCTACGGACATCTGAGTTGGTTAGGGTAGGGGTATCTGCCTCTGACCTGATTTTTTTTGCTTACTAAGGGCTCGGTCCCATAAATCCCCGTGCATGCATACTTGGTTATCTCTTGGGCAAGCCCAGGCAAGTCTCTGACTTCAGTGAGATTATTTGAGTGAGTAAAGGGACCTAGGTGCATAACAGTTTGCAGCACTAGGCTGTTAAATGGCAAGTGAGAAGGCTTTCACAACACTAACAAGTATTTGGTGAGGAAGGTAATATAAGAACAGGAAATCTATGGTATGTATGATGCCTGAATTGAAGTGGGTGCAGCCAGAGTTACAAATGCAGGGGCTGCAAATGGTCCTATTCCAAGTCATTTCCCAACTCCTCAGCCTGAAATTTAGTGCGCTTGCCCCTCACTGAACTTTTTTAACTCCTAGTTTCCCCACTTTCCCGCCATGTACGGACTGATCAACACTGGCCATTCCCTTTCTTTGCCACTCCTGGCCAGCGTGCAGAGGGGAAACCCTGCCTACAGCTCTTTCTTCCATCTCCACTGCAGGGGTGTTGAGGGCAGGGCTGCAAGTTGGTGCCAGTGGCTTCTTGTGGATTCTAGTCCTGTCACTGAGACGAGGCACATGAAGCTACAAAGAATGGACATCACTGGGGGCGGCGGGAGGCTTTTTGGAGGAAACCGCTTTTAGTGGTAGGGAGAGGCCTTGGCAGAAAAAGGTCAAACTGGAGACTATGAAAAGGACAACCTTCTAGAGGCAGGAGATGCTGTACAGAAAGCTCTTCCTAAGGGATCAGCTTGAGGAAATCGGAGAACAAGGGGACAGACCCCACATGAAACGGACATGTTTCTTGAAAGACAAAGAAGGAGTATGAAAATGACTGACTTCATAGTCTGATTTCCCTAGTACTGTTGGGGAAGCGCACTGTACAGAGAGCTCCTGTAGGAGCTCTGCTTTCCCTTTCCAGAAGTCCTGAGGCAGAGAGAAATCTTGGAGGGCAGGAGGTGGAATGAGAAGGGCCCAAGCTTTAGACAGGAGAACAAAGGATAGGAGGCAAAGGAAGGTGGAGAGGGTGCACACCTTGATGGGAGGAAGACAAGGGTGTAGAGAGCATCAGAAGGCAGTAAAGACAACTGAACATGGCAGTTTGTCATCTCGCTGCATGCCATGTGGAAAGGGAACAGACCACCCAGTGTGTGAGGGGAACACTTGAGTCGGAGCAGGAAATGGAGCCCCCGTAGGGCAGGGGAATCGGAGGAAACAATTCCATATTGCTTTCCACTTCATAGCATAGGGAACAAAGCTTCATTCTAGCATAGGCCTTGCCTAGCTTTATCAGAAGCAGATGAAAAACTATATAGTCTAGTCATCTTTGGCTCTGCAGTAATTTTCCCAGGGTCCTAGGGACTTTTCGTAAGAGCATCAAGCGCCAAAGCTAGTGGCTGTTTGTGTTGGTGCATAAGGCTAGGATTGGGAAAGGAGTTGGGAAGATAAATCATTGTCTGATGAGCCATTGTTATCTTGTGAAGCAGCAGGCCATATGGGATTCTTGATGGAATCCACTGTAACTAGATAGAAACTAAAAATTCCCAAGTGCCCTAATGACCCTGAAGAGCACATTACTTCTATTAGCACAACTAGAGTGTTTGCTTCCAGATGTGAATGGCAGCTGTCCTGGACCAGCAGCTGCATCTGGTTCTAATTCTCTTATCTACAGAGGGATATTTTACTTAGCCATTTGCTCTACATGAAGTGATGAAGGGTGGAGATGAAACCCCCATTTAATAAGGAGATTGTGTATATTACGGTGGAAGGAGAAAAGGCATGACTTCAGGAGGAAAACTCAGCATATGGCTTGTCATGAGAGAGTCATCTCTAAGAGGTCTGGATGCTGATGTCAGGGCTACATGGCCATCATCCTGGCTGTGCAATGCCAAATCCTGTGAGACACCAAGGAGAAGTACATAAGATGCATCTACATGGGTGTTAATGGTAGATGAAGCCAGCTGATGAACATTCCTCTTGGAGTGCCTTGCAGAAAGTTCTCTTTGATATAAAACTGATTTCCAAATGCAGGACTACCCTGGCTCTGAAAGGTGCTAGAGCATTAACAGGTAGAGCTGTAATGGTGAGCTGCCACTGACATCAAGAGGTGGCAGAGGGAATAATCTCTCCTCTCAGCTCTAAGTACTGCAATCAGAAAAGCGGCCACTTCTTCCACTCTCACCCAATCCCTCCCACTCCTGTTTCAGGGAAAAAAAAAAAAAATACTGACTTGGATGCCTGGTGGTGGATCAAATTTCAAAGGCTAATTGAAAAGTTAGCTAATGGTCAGTGATTCAGACCCACAATGTGGTGGTGGTGGTGATTTTGAGGGGGGGCTTGGATTCTCAAGCTACTAGCAAAGCAGGTCAGTATCACTTTTTAGATCAGCCACTTCCCAGCATTTATGCCCTACTGTACCTGTTTATCAGACTGAGAACTCTGCTCTGTGCTGGACTTGATTCAACTATATTCAGTATCATTCTTCATGTTACTTAGAAGCTGTGGAGAGAGACTGGAAATGGGAACAGCCCACAATCTGTTGCCAATTTGAGACCACCTGAATGAGAGTTCATATAATCCAAGAGTGGGAGAGCTGAAGTGGCAGTATCAGTAGCTGTTGGAGCATGAGTGTCTGGAAACCAAGGCACTAACTCTTTCCTAACAAGAAAGCTGAACAGCCCCTCTGCTCCTCCATTTTCTTGCTCGGTTCATATCCTATCTTGATGAACACAGCTGTTCCTCCAAGGGGGAGATGGGGAAGGGTGTTGATTTGGATACCAAAGCTAAATTTAGGAAGATTATTTTGTTAAAAATATGGGAAGCTTTTGGATGCTGATTTTGGTTTTCCTTATTGTGGCTGATTTAGCAGTAAATGATCTCTAATTATTGGAGTGCAATGACAAAGCAGGTAGCTTTATCACCTAGCGTAAATAGTAGCATGTTTTCAAACAGCAAAATACATTTGGAAGTTTGAAAAGCTAAACTTAGCATTCCATCAGTGTAATAAAGCATGATAACTAGTTTGATTTTGTTTTCCTTCATCTTCACTACTGCTTCAAAGATTTAAAAAAATGACTCGCTCAATAAAAACTCTACAAAAATGCACTAAACTTCTAGAAAATTAGCAGTTAATAAATTTACTCCAAAATGTACGTGTCTGTTTGGATTCATGAAATTGTGATCCCTTCACAAGTCAAAGTCTCTGATATGTAAACATCTTAAATTGGCCTGGAAAAGTAGGCCAGACATGCTTAGGTAGTGGAACATTTTGCCCTTTTTTTCTGAAAGGGAAGAAATAGTCTAATAGGAATATGCATCTTAACTGCTTCTTATTTGAGGCCTGATCACGAAGCTAGTAGCAGATTTTTTTTTTCCTGAGTTAGTTCAGGATCAGCCTGTTAATTTCTTAACAATTTAAAACTAAAACCATCCAAGATGTAAACTTGAAAGATCAAATGTTTGGTTTTGTATATATAAGTCCCATATAATCAATCCAGTGCCTGGGGAATTTTACAGATTAAAAAAAAAAGTCACACTGCAAACAACAGTAATTCACACAGATTGCTAGACTGAAAAACCCCTGCCATTTAAAATCAAATCACCGGCCAATGAGATCAGTCTCCAGTATTTATTATTTGTTACTCTTAAACTACCTTTGTGTGTTTTTGCGTATAAAAATGCAAACATTATGCATCAAGCTGGCAAGCATGATTAACACCTGTGATCAATTAAAGTTAGTGGTGTTCTTGTCCTGAGTTGAAGAGCAAGGTAGTGCTATCATGGAGCCTAATTCTTCTTCTGAGGTGACTGGCCAGGAGCCCAGGTTTACACTGGAAAAAAATATATAAAATCAACCCTGCATAATGTTGAGATCAGACCTTAACAGTGGAACCAGTTTTGGTTATACCTCACTCTGCCATGGATGCTAGTAAAATGTGGGTCCAGAATAGCATCATATGACTACAAAACATTTGAGTGAGGATACCACAACTTAGCATCTCTTTTATAAAGTACTTTACAACCAGTTTATTGGGTTGGGAACTTTCCTGTATTTCAGGGTCATTAAAACCCAAATAAATAGAGGATGATAGTGTATGCTTATAGATGTGGGTAGGATGGGAAGATTAATTAGCCAAATACTTTCTGGTTCATTCTTAATCTTTCAAAATCAAATCTTTCAAAAGATTAAAATTACACAATGTAAAAATCTTGGCAAGATGAGATTTAGTCAATTTAGGACTACAAGCACTTTTTTTTTAAAGTAAGGTTGTCTTGTAGCAATAGAATTATACTATTATTACAGACTGGAACAATTAACAGTGTATAGTTAAGTATCAGTATCTTCACTTAGAAAGACTTCTTCATTGGCTGTTCAAACAAAGAACCTCCAAAATGTTATTTTATGGAAACTATGAATATTATTTACAGGTTGCCAGCTTTCTTCAGGCTGGTTCTTTTTTATTGATACAATAAAGTTGTCTGGCAAAACATTTGCATCATGTGCATATCTCCCTCCAGTTACACAGT